GAAAGGCTGTGGGAGTAGCTACGTCTTGATCCCGGAGGCAGCAGTGGTCTCTGGGACTGAGCGAAACTACCGCCATGTCTGCAGTTGGTGGTACTAAGGTCATGCTGTGATGTCTGTACCTAAATGGTGGCTGCAATGAAATGCTGATGGGAAGATTGCTATGGCCTCATCTTTGGTACTTCCGGCTGTTCAGGTTTCCCATTTGCTTCTCTGGATCTTCCCAGAATCTCCTCAAAAAGATTCTTTGAGCTATTAATATCGTTTACTACTTAAATTAGCTAATTTGAAATATTTACTTCTCAGACACACAATTGATACCAAGAAAGTGTATAGGCAGTGGGGTCTTGATAGGATCAGCTCTGTGGCATGAGAGTGGTCCTTTGTCCCTGCCTGGATTGCCTCTGAGCCTTGGTCTCTGATCCTTCTGAACATCTCTGATCTTTATAATATTCTTTAAATTCACCTCTTTTCTTTTCTTTCTTTTTTTTTTAAAGATTTCATTTATTTATTTGAGAGAGAGAATGAGACAGAGAGAGAGAGCACGAGATGGGGGAGGGTCAGAGGGAGAAGCAGACTCCCTGCCGAGCAGGGAGCCCGATGCGGGACTCGATCCCGGGACTCCAGGATCATGACCTGAGCCGAAGGCAGTCGCTTAACCAACTGAGCCACCCAGGCGCCCCTAAATTCACCTCTTTTCTAATTAAATTAAATATATATGGCTTTGGCTATTTGCTGAAAGATGGTGAAAATGCTCAAAGATATAATTGTAACTACTTGCAAGTAGAATCACAAAATGACAAATCTGTTGCTGATTAAAAACATAAACATCTTTTATTATTTATAGTTTGATACTAACTCTAGAGTTTGAACTGATAGAAAAATTGATATCTAGATGTTATTACAAGTTAATCTGTTTTTGTTTGGTAAAAGCATTTGATATTAGTAGACCTTAAAGAAAGTACTTATTAGATATTTTACAGTGAAACAGTTAAAAAAAATGATTATTTTATCCCCAAATATTAATGTCTCAGAAATTTTCATTCCTGAAAAATATTTTGGTTAATTTTCCTTTCTGTATATATTTCCAAATTTTATGTTCAATTATTATGGGATCATGACAGTTAACAAAGTATCAAAAGATTGCATAGAAATATAATAATATCTTTCCATAAAAATCGTTTTGGTTCACACCTTATCTTTTAGTTCTGCAAATGTTATATATTTTAGCAATAAGATCTATAAAAGTTTACATCATCATATTAAAAATACTACTTTTTTGCTGAACTTTATTATTTTTTAAAAGAAGTGCATAAAATATGCACTATTCTTTAGAGTAAAATTAGTTTTTTTCCTTCGCCTTATTGTAGTTCAAATGATATGATAATAATTTAAATTTCAATTATAAATTTAACTGTATAATTAATCAATTTTGAAAATCCCTCTAAAATATACAGCAAATTGATTAGGCCAGAAATTAAGAATTTAAGGAGTGCCCTCTGCTGCATAAATTTAAGTGTGCAATGTCCTCAGTGCTTGCTTGCATAGAGTCACAAATTTTTTTTTTCATGAAACCATACTAAAAATAAAAATATACAAGTATCACATTACCACCAAATACATGTTTATGAATTGCCTGTCCTTTCACTTCTCTAACCTGTACCATTTTTGTAATAAAAATACATAATTTTATTTCAGTAAACTAATAAATATTAGTTATTGCATTTAAGATGCATACTTGAAGAGATAAATAATATTCTTTTAAATATTACTAATTTGCCTTTAATAAGGAATAGGAATCTATTTTATTTTAATACACTTGGGCAAAATTCTATTATTTTTATTTCATGAACTGGCTTTGACTACTTATTCTAAGTCTAGGTGTAATCTAGATATATCTTTAGAATACATCTATGTTTCTCTATAACTAAGATTAAAAGTTTAATTAATATATAGTTGAAGTGTTCTTCTTGAACCTCTTATAAAATTCTTGAAAGAATATTTACCTCAGTACTTTTTGATGACATTTTTGAGAATCAACATTTATTCTACAGTAATAGTAAATCATTTTTATATCAATGTGAGTTTTTTGCTAACATTATCATTTGATTTATTAAAGTGTAATGTTAAAAACTGATAGTGATTTCTGAACATGTATGATCTTGAATTTGTAAATTTTAAAATGTAGACTTTTCTCAAATTTTCAAATAAATTTTTATTGTGCTTATTACACAAATGTAGTTAATTAATATCCTTTAATAAAATCACTTTATTAATTTGCTATATTCCTTTTCCTTTTTAAAATTTTCAGTCCCTGGGCGCCTGGGTGGCCCAGTTGGTTAAGCGACCGCTTTCGGCTCAGGTCATGATCCTGGAGTCCCTGGATCGAGTCCCGCATCGGGCTCCCTGCTCGGCAGGGAGTCTGCTTCTCCCTCTGACCCTCCCCCCTCTCATGTGCTCTCTCTCTCTCATTCTCTCTGTCTCAAATAAATAAATAAAATCTTTATAAAAAAAAAAATTTTCAGTCCCTGACAAAAAAGATTCCCATGTTCTTTTCATGCAACTCTAGTAAATTAAAATTATAAATATGGTGAGTCTTAAACATTCCAATGAAGTTTAAACTTAGTGAAATTTTCTTATATTTTGCAACTTAAATTTACAAGTCTAAGTCAATACGCAATTTCTTTTAAATATTCAAATGTGCCTAATCATCCAAAAACCTTAAAATTATCCAAATGCCAAATATGTAACATATCTTAATGTACAGTGATTTTTACATGTTCTGTTTAAGTGTGACACCAAATATTAGTATTTGGCAATTTGTTCATTATTTCTATACTTAATCCCATTCTTCTTGAAATCCCAAACATAGTCACTCAGGATAAAAATAATATCTTGGTAAGTAACTTGGGTGTCATTAGCTGGCTGGGTCTGCTTATCTATCAGGATTTTGGGCTGAGGTTGTTAATCTGGAGCTGTGGACATTTATAGACAGTGTTCATAGAACATAGACTTTTATATCAAGCCCTTTTGTTTGTTAGTTTTAATATACTTATTGTTAATAAAGCATTCAAAATTATAGTCATAAATGGTGCTGGTGTTTTTGCAACCTGAGTCTTCTGAGGTTAAACTCTAACTAATTCTCACATGTTCTCTTCAATTCTGTGGCTTGGTTCATGCAAATATAATTATATAACTTTTTAATAAGCTGTTTATCCATTGATTGGATTAAACTAATATATTTATGACCTAATTCTACTTTAAATTATTTTCATAGTATCGCTACCTGGAATATTCATATTTCTCATAAATATGTAAATGACATTCAATTTTTATTCTGGGTGCATCTTCCAGATGTGTGAATATGTTTCTAAGTTCCTTCTAGTGACATTATCACTAAAATAGACCCAAGTGTGTGTATTGGTTAATTATAATTACAAAAAGGTTTTAACAACAACCACAAAATCTCAGTGGTATACAACAATCAGACTTTATTCAGCTGGCGTCTCTGAGGCAACTAAAGGCTGATTGATCTACACTGGGCTCTGCAGGAAAGACTGGTTATGGTCCTGTATCTCACACTCCCACTGGGAGCAGTGAGTCTGCATTGCTATGTACTTCTCATTGCTGTGGCCAAAATACAAGAAGGTAAAACCAGTTGCATAAACACTTGGAAGGCTCAGCCACATGATGCCCACTAGCATTCCATTGGTGATGTCAGGCGCATTTTCCATTTTCCAAAACACTGCAAGTGATGATTTTGTCATGTGTTTCACCACTAAATAACACATATCACCGTTTTTCCAGCTGCTTATGTTTTATCACCGTTTTTCCTGTAGCATTCCCCTTTTAAGTATTATTTTCTGTCAGTTATCTTTAGCTGCAGAAAAAAACTCAACAGAACAACACACACACACACAACCTATAAAATTCAGTTGCCTAAAACAATGATATATTTTGCCCATATGGATACAAAAAAGGTGGGCCAGCTCGGCTTGTCTCCATAGTAAGGTTGGGCTCAGATCTGCTTTATGTTTTTATTTGGGGACAGCATTTCCTCAGGGAAACTCTTTTCACAGTGATGGCTGAGACATAGAAGAAGAAGCCCAACCACACAGATTCTTTTCAAACATCTGGGTCTGTCATATCTGCTAATATCCCATTGTCAAAGCCTAGAAACAAGATTGGGGAAAGCAGCTCTGCCCATTGAAGTAGAGAGAAAAGAGATTGAGCATTTTTTAACAATAATCTGATGCACCACACAGATGAGGATTGGCCATCTGCAAAGGTCGATATATGCTAATTACAACCAGAAGTAAACAATTATTTTCAGTGACTCACTCTGATAGACATATGGGCATACAAAAAAAATCAATAATTGAGATATTAAAGGACTGGATTTCAATCCTAACTCTGTCATTTTTTGTACAAATGGATAAATTAATTTCAATTATTTTAAATAAAGATCCCAGTGAAATTGCTTCATTAAAACAAAACTGCAAATATTTTTTTAAAAGTATTTTTATATCCCCAGTAAATGATTGATTTCTTAAATTATTATGTAGACTCCTTGGCATTCTCTTTCATATCAAAGGATTCTTCATTCATATATAGTCACAGTATGAGGTTGGATAAAAGCCATGTTAAAATTAGAAATACATATATATTCATATTCATATTGTTTCCTTATATGGGAGGGAAACAATATGAGTAAGAGAATGAGAGAAGTGCATGAATAATACAGGAGAAAGCAGGTAGAAAGTCAAATATTTTGATACTGGCAAAGTCATATGTTTAACCTACTCTAATGCTAATTGACAGAATAACAAATTAAACCGTTTTATTCAATATTTGTAACTTTTAATAAGCTAGGAAAGTTTTCCTGTGATTATAAAGGTCATATACAAGTATAAAAATAAGGAAAATAGGAAATCAAAAATTGAATGTGTTCCTAAAATTATTTTTAAATTGTAAGTCTATTTTGCTTTTAATTCTTTATTTAGAATGCGCTCATCTTTGGAAAAAGAAATAGAACGACTGGAGTCAGCTTTGTCTGTATGGAAATGGAAGTATGAAGAACTGAAAGAATCAAAGCCAAAAAGTCTGAAAGAGGTATGGAGGCATACTATGTAGAGGAAGAAATGAAACTGACAGTTTTCTCTGTTCAGATGTGTAACCTAGTAGGCAGAAAGCTCCATAGACAAGAGGAAAAGTAAAAAATTGAATTCCCTTCACAAGAGGGATATTTTAACTCACATGTTCATGTGAACTCAGTCAAACTCAACCCACAAGAAATCTTGTTCTAAATAACACATATTTTTAATGATCAACATTACACAATTAACTATCCATTCCAGGCACATGTGAGGGGAATGCTAAAGAGGTCATTATACCATAGCACTTATAATAAACAATTTTATCTTATTCTTTTGTGTGACAGTATGAAAATACCAATATACCTCAAGTGCACCTAGGTTCTTTTCATATTGGCTTTATGGATTATTCAGGATCAGCAACTTGCCTTTATACTTTTCCTTTGCATTTTCATCAATAAAATTCTGTCACGAACCTTTCCCATTTCAATGATTTATTAATTTTCATTGTTAAAACAATATTAATTGCACATCTTGTGTGTACCAAAGCATTGTTCTAGGTAAGCATGTGGGATAGAATAATGAGCAAAGAAAAGAAAAATCCTGACAAAATGATGACAAGCCAAATGCTTCAAATGAGTCAACATTTAGTTGGGTGTCTATATATCTGTGTTTATTTATATATGTATTACATTAATTATATACTATGTATTATACGTTATATATTACATGTATACACACACACACACACATATATATGTCCATGCATACAAAGCATACGTATGCTGACCAGCTGTCTAAAAGAAGGTGAGTCTCTAAATCAAGTATGTAATTGTGCCTTAATCAAAAGCACTATTCCATCCGTTGTTAAAAAACGTGGTGAGCAGTATTTCTCTTTGTTTATGAAATCCCATATTAATGTTGCTTCAGGTTTGTTTCCAGCAAGTGGTAAAGTTTAGAGTCATCACGTTTGTTGAACTCACATGACGAACCTTAGTTGCCAACATAAGCCTGACTTAGGAGTCCTACGTAGGCGTTCTGACGTCCGTGGAGTATAGTAATGATCATGCACTGGCTCAGAAATAGTCAGCTATGTTAACACAGTGGACCCCTGAGATTTAAAATGAGGGAGAGCTTTTCCTAATATTATTAAGCAAATATCTCCTGCTTAAAAATATATTAACAAAAGGTCATTTCAGTGAGAGCCACAGATGGTTAGTTTGAGAACATTTCTCAATGAGCCTAAATTAAACAATTAAAGCTAACAAGCCACATAAAGTTTACCTCTCCTTTATAGATTCACGTTAGATTGTCATAGTTGTTTTGTTTTTAGCTCAAGCTTTCGGTATATGTATATATGTATACACAATGTATGTGTGTGTACATATACATATGCATTTATATATGGATTCATAGCATTTATATTCACAGGTACCTAACTGAACATGATGTCTCTGAGTGTGAACAAGGACAGTAAATTAATGTTATACAGGAAAACAGTTCAGAATACAAGAATTATATATATTTAGAATGTATGTGTATTTGCCCCTATAATTTAATGGGCTCTAAATTTGATTGGGAAAACTAATACTGAAGATAGAATGGGTTTTAAATTTAAAATAAATGTGCATTTACTCTTTCTTGCCACTAGTGGGCACTGCAGACTTGACAACATTAGTTTCTTAATGCTTTTTTTCCAAGTAATTTAACATTTATGTAGCAACTGTTTTTGAAAAAGGCATGTTTTGAGTTGGTTTACAAAGGATATGTATATTTTAAATGTTTAATGTTTTATATTCAAAGATGATATTTTGGACATTAAGTGGGAACATGTCTACTTTAACAAAGCTTTATAGATGAGAAAAAATAAAACCAATATAGCATTTTACACTGTAAAATGGGTCTACATTTGATACACATACAGAAATATGTATTAGTACATATGTGATCCTTTTACTTGATAAAATTATAGAGGTTTTGAAACAGGGGAAACCTCAACACTGTTGTGAAAAATTTGTTCAACTATTTAAACTTTGAGCACGTTTCAGTTCAATGAACTACAAATTTGAACATTGAGTGGAAGTGACAATTAATAAAAAAAGTTTTACTGTAGATGATGGAAAGTTAATTTTAACAGAGAAAAAGAAAAAACATTATGTGATTTATTTATATGAGATTACTTTTTAAAATCTCTTTCTACTCCCTAAAAATGGAATTTGTGATAATCTTTAAAGCCTTTTTAGAAGAGATATGATATGCACATATGTTTAAATTATTTTATAAAATATTGTGGAACATTTGAAAATATTTAAAAACTGAATAAGGAAAAATACTTTGTCACGTAATTTTTATGTATACTTTGTTTTATCATAGATTAGAACAAGAAGAATTTTGTGGTACATTTAAGATGGCATTGTAGAGTAATTATAAGTGTAAAATATTCAAAGTTTCTATTCAGTTGATTGACAATCTGGAAATGTGTCATGATGTATCCTTTGGAACTTCATGTGAATTCTCTTTTTTACTCCATTCCTCAAAAATTATGATAAATGACCTTCACTTTCACTGTAGCTCCTCATCTATAAAAAAATTTTGAATACAAATGTAATTCTGTTTTAGATGCCTGAAACTGTTACAAGCAAATACATGCCTGGCTAGGAACTGCTGATAGAAAGATTAGCAATTTTTAGAGATGGAAACAGATGTGCTTAATAGACCAAGGTTTTTAAAAATGTATTTGAAAATCTGGCATCTTTAGAGGGAAATCATTCTTAAATCACTGACATTTAGCAAAGAGTAAATATAAGAACTTAACTGTAAAATCTAATACGTATTTAAAACACAACCAAGACAATGAGTAGTAGAAATGATATTCCAAATGCTGTTCCCATGCTAAATTTAATACTTATTCAGCTTTTCCTTTGCACATGTGTAAGTACTGATTTGGAATTACAGTATGAATTCCAATTTTTTGAAATGGTTATTTTCATGAAACCTCATGATCTAGAGAATCGAATATTTATGGAAGTAATATTGATTACAAATAATTATGAATACTCTGGTTTCTCTTCAGATCATGTAAATCTTTTGCCTTTTACAAATAATTATGGTACTTTTGCTTTAACAATAAATGACTCTGATTCTTTCCATAATGGAAGATATCTTACCATATATGGAGAATACTGCTAACATTTTAAAATTGGTCTCAAACTGAAAAATGAAATGTAACTTTAAAAATGAAATGTAATTTGTCTTTGAAAGTTTTGTACTCTTACTGGAATTTTTTTAAGGATTTTATTGAGGTATCTTCTATCTTTTTGTGATAATAACTGTTTCTAGTAATTTATAATTTACAATGTTCTTTTGTAATATTTATATTAAATTCTTACAGAGACAAGCTTTGTGGGGCCATATACAGCACTAAGGGCCGTCAATAAAGCCTTATCTCAAATACCTCAAAACACCGTTCTGATTTTGGGGAAACAGAAGGTTAGAATTAGGATTATATGTAGCTAAAATTCTACACTATTACCTTTAATTTTTTTCAGAAATAAGATTTTTTCTAAATTTTTCTTTCTTTTATTTATTTTTTACTTGAAGTTTAGTTGAAGATACCTTCACTTTTTAAAAGATTATGTCAGTGGACACTTAGGTTGCTTCCATATTTTGGTGAGTGTAAGTAATGCTGCAATAGATGGAAGGATGTATATACTTTGTGAATTAGTATTTCATTTTTTGGGTAAATACCCAGTAGTGTAATTATTGTATCATATGGTATTTTTATTTTTAATTTTTTGGGAAACCTCCATACTGTTTTCCACAGTGGCTGTACCAAATTACATTTCCACCAACAATACACGAGGGTTCCCTTTTCTCCACATCTTTGCCAACACTTGTTATTTCCTGTCTTTTTTATTTTAACCATTCTGACAGATGTGAGATGTATCTCACTGTGGCTTTGATTTGCATTTCCCTGATGATGAGTGATATGAGCATTATTTCATATGTCCGTTGGCCATCTGTATGTCTTCTTTGGAGAAGTGTCTTTTCATGTTTCCTGACCATTTTTAATTGGATTATTATTATAATTATTTTTTTTGGTGTTGAGTTGTATGAGTTCTTTATTTATTTTGAATAGTAACTCTTTATTGGGTATGTTATTTGCAATATTCTCCCATTCAGGAGGTTGTCTTTTAGTTTTGTTGATTGTTTCTTTTGCTGTGCAGAAGCTTTTTATTCTGATGTAGTCCCAGTTTATTTTTGCTTTTCTTTCCCTTGCCAATATGACAGCTATTATGCATGCATAAGGAAAAGATCCTCAAAGATACTTATTTGAAATAGGTGGATGGCGAAGCGTTAGTACTGTTATGAGCTCAAAACTTAGTTTAAACCTCTCTCATATTGCTATTTTTGTGGCTTAAAGAAATTACTCCATAGAAATGACCAAAATTGTTAATATATCTTATCAGTTCTAACCCTAAACTGTAGCTCCTACCATTGCTTTCCATCTCTGCTACTTTCCCAGTCATAACCATCAGATCTCCTACTTTGCCCCCTCCTGCCAGATCTCTTATCCATCACTGTTGAACTTTTTATTTTTCCATCCAGCCATCAGAGTGATATTTCTAAAAACACAAACTGGATCATATTACACCCTTTCTTCAAACACTTCATTGACTTCCCTTTTTAGAGTATAGCTGCCCTCCAAGTAATTGGAAGGCTAAGGAAATTTAAATCCACCTGGTTAAACCACCAGATGTTGACAATTCAAAGGATGTCTGATAATGATACCACTCTTTTCTACCCTAAACTGCTCTAACGAGCAGTGCCCCAAATTTCAGTGGATAGGACCCGACAGATGATTATTTTTGACTTACATATACGCCCTACATGTGTTTGGAGGGTAGCCTTCTCCTTCTATGTAGTGACTCTGTGCCCTGGGCTCTCAGAGGTCATGCAGCTGAGATGAACACTCTGCATCTGATCAAGATTAGGAAAGAGAATGGGGATCATATGGGG